CTCTGGTTCCCATAAACTTGTGATATCTGCCGATTGTCCTTATTTTACCTGCAGATAAGTGACTGTTGTTCTTTCTTTTCTGACCAGCTTCTTTGATGTTGTGTGCATTTACCGTTTATACGATCCCGTAAAGTCACGCATGCATGTGAAAGACTTTAGCTTCAGAAATGTCTTTACCAGTTCACGTGCTCCACATGGAATCCGATGTCGTCCTTTCTCCAGTATTCCTCCCACTCTCCAAGCGTCATGACCCGGTTGGCCTGTGGTTCCAACATGTCGGCTGTGTCCGTCTGAAGCCGGCTGCCGGAGGAAAACAACAAACAGAGGACGGAGTGAACAACATCCAGGTCTGTGGCTGCAGACGGAGGTGAGGACACAGGAACTGTATCTGAGTATAAAACAAGCCTTCAGAGAGCAGATCAGCTGCTTTCAGGGCTGCAGAACTTCTCCCACGTATGGTGCAAATGTTGAATAACTTCCTTATCTGACAATTAGCAGGATTACCAATTAAGAACAGATTAACCAATACCAGTATTGATTATGGCAGACATTACCCTATATGCTCATGTGGTGTTTTTGACTACAGACGTGTACCATTACCTTCCAAACCATTCAGGTAAACATGAAACTGGGATGTGATGATGTTGTCCTGTGACTTCAGCTGATTTTAGTTACGTCAGTTCTGGTTGGAGGTCATTAAACACCAGTCAGGTGGAACAACAAGCTGATCTATGACACATCTTCTGACATGTATTCTTCTTTCTGACGTGTCAAGAACAAGTCTAAAGTCAGCCCAAAAGGTAGCCTCAATCCGGTCTTAACGCAGTCTAAAACAAGATTGAAGGCAAGTACAAAACTGGTCCATGTTCTGTCTATAGCCAAGTCCAAATCCAGTCCAAAACCAGTATAAAGTTAGTCCTACAGCCCATCTTGCATGCATGAGCTCTGGTTGGTCAAACATGTGCCACTACCTTCAAAACAGTTCAGCTCAACATGCCACTGGGATGTAATAATGTTGTCCTGGTAACCCCAGTTGATTTTAGTTAACACAGCTCTGGTTGGAGGTCCTGAACTTCCTCAGAGTCTCTGTCATGGTCCCGTTGCTGCTAAACTCCCACAATGCTCTCTGCTGCCACCATGAGCTGTAGTCTGAGTGACGCCTCCTCTGGTCTCTAAACAGGAAGAGGCTCCACCTGGTGGAACAACCAGGTACTACAGCTTGTCTATGGTACGTTTACTGACGCTCTTCATCTTCTGCCTTATTGGTTAATATATATTCAATCTGTTGAATTATTAACATCAGTTAATCCATTAATCATTATGTAGACACACTGATCTGTGTTTTCTAATGTTTACGTTGCAGAACCAGAAGTGTGACTTTTGACCCACATGTTCACCGTATCTGATCAGATTAATGAGTTAATAGGATTCCTATCTGTCATGCTGTAAAACAAACAGAAACAAACGACTACCGTAAGCCCATTTTATTGTTTAAATGCTATCAACTATAACAACAGCTTAAACGCTGTTATTTATCTTCATTTTGTTGGGATATTGTTCAGATTTGTCTTGTGGTCATCATGTTTCTGATGGTTTGCTGCTGAAACACTTTAGTCCAACTCCTGTTGTTCTAAATGTGCTTCATAAATACATTTGATTTGACTGTTCAATTACTGTCCAGTACTTTACATACTATCCTGTTTAATAGATGTACCAGAACTTACCTTTAGTGACGACTGGTATCTGTTCAGCAGCAGCGAGTTATTTATCGTCCTGAGTTTAGTCTGTCAGCTGCAGAGAGGGAAGCAGGATGAGGATGGAAATGCTGTTGAACTCAGGGACAAGTCTCAGTGCAGCCAGTCTGACTTCTGGTTGGGGAGGAGTCTGGTGCTGCATTCATGCTGCGATGGAAGTGTGGGAAATGATACAATTCTACTGACTTTTAAATACTTGCTCCTGACAAACTGATGTTGTTCATTCTCAGCTGCAGTGGTTTGTGAAGAGCTCCTCATGTGTTCCTAAGTAACATAACATGGACAGTTTAATTTCAGACTCGGTTATGACCGGTGCAGGACCTCTTCCACACAAGACGGCTGTTGTTATGTCACGCTGCCACCCAGTGGTCGAGGCAGAAACTGTATTATGGGTGGGTTAGTTTTACAGTAGAACCAGAGAAATATTATTCATCTCCAAAAAGACAGACACATCCAACATCATCACAACGCATAGAAGAAAGTAAATGTTTAATAAAAGCACAAGGCACATAGAAGTCAATAAATGAAAAAGATGCTTCAGTTTCACCTCATTGTTCTGATGAAACTGTTCAGACTCTGTCAGGTTCCACCGGGGTCATGAGCGAACAGAACTTTAAGTCCAGACTCTAATCCTCAGCTGGATTGAGGTCTGGACTCTGACTGGACCTCCAGAACTTCACCTTGTTGTCTTCAAACCATCTCTGTGGAGCTTTGGCTGTTTGCTTCGGCTCATTGTCTTGATGGAAAACAAGTCTTCTCCACGTCTCAGTTCTGAAGAACAGACAACAGTTGTTGTATGAACAGTCTCTAACATCTCAGCTGCTGGAGCTGGAAGCTCCTTCAGAGGAGTCACAGGAGTCTTGGTGTCCTCCCTCACTCGTCTCCTTCTTGCTCGGTCACTCAGGTTTTTGTAGCAGTGCTGCTGTGGGCAGATCTACTCATTCCTTCCATTTCTGAATGATTTCACTTTCAAAAGTCTTTTTGCTGTAAATTCTTGTCACAGAAGCCAAACTAAACTTCACTATGATTTAATGTTTAAAGCAATAAAAGGGAAACCTTCTGAGGAGGTAAATACTTTTTTATAGACTGTATGTCTGTTATACTGACTTCTTGGATGAGAAGTTCTGAAGCTGTGGACGTCTGAGAGCCTGGTTCTGACCCTGACATGTCTGTTCTTGTGCTTCTCGTGTATCTGCGTCATGTCATTTAAGTGAAGCTGTTTTCTAAGGCAGCCTTTCAGTCTTTGGTTTGAGGAGTGTCTGTGTGCTAACGCTTTCTATACATTGTTCTTCAGAGCCACACCTGACAGGCGGCGGATTAACTCAACGTTTGGCAGTTTGTCACCTGTTGAACAGAATTTAACCCTTTTCTCTCCATCAACAAAAGAAATGAGATTTTAAACGTTTTAT